TGGTCTTTTGACTTGTATTTTTCTTGAATTTTTGTAGGATGCACAAAACGCTAGAAATGATTTGACTGGTAATAATATTGTTATTGGCTTAGCAGCCTTAGATTTAAACCACTTTAAATTTGGATGAATTTCCAATGATTTTTCTTAGTATAATATCACTTGAAGCAAAAGTAATGTTACAGCAAGGAATTGTGCATTCAGTTCTTTTGTAGGAATTGGTGTTGACATTTTATGTTTTAGTATTTTAAATTCAAAATAGAGAATTTTCTTGTAGACCTTTTAGAACTACATCTTATGGTATATGCACCTTGTAATTGCATATTTGAGTTGCATGTTCTTTTGCCCACCTGTGTGTCTTGCATGATTATCAGGTAAGTGGCTTGGAAGTAGACAAATACGTTGTAACTGGGCAACAAAAGGTGCTGGTGGTAATGAAGAGAAGCAAAGCTCAGATGCAAAAAGTTTGGTGGAACTAACGAATGGCTCATCTGGTGAGTAACTGTAGTTCATGAAACAATGAGAGATGGTTGAATTTAAGCAATTTATGTTTAGCTTCTAATTCTTGGTTTTAGGGTGGATTCTGATATTTTTCTGCAGCCTTTTGAAGTCCTAGAAAGATTTTATAGATGGTTGTACTTGTAAAACTTAGTGTTTGTGAAGTATTCTGTTTTCCCAGTGAACTAATATAATACCAGGAATTGACCAATGTGTTTTATCCTACTTGTACAGAAGACGGTAAAGAGACATGTAACAGTGATGCTCCTGAGAACAATCCTCAGTATACTTACTGTTTATGTGGGTAACCTTGCTTCAGAGGCAAGAAACTTCCTTTATTATATATATGTGTGTATATATATATATATTTATCAAAATACCATTTCACCAACCGCTATTTAGTTGAAAAGTGTGCAAGCTTGTTATGATTTATGCAACAAAAGCTATATTTATTAAGTCCACTGTCGATATTTGCATTGCTGAAACTTTACATTACCTCTATTAACGTTTTTAGTTATTCTCTTCCTCACGTTTGGCATTATTAGGTTAGAGATTTAAGAATATTTTAGCTTTTAAAAAATTCTGTTTTAACAAAATGTATATATATATACATGTAAGCTGTATGTTTGAATTCTGCAGCAATTTCTGTTGCTATTTTAATCATTATGACCCTTGGTGATTCCACAGGCAACACAACTTGATCACCATCGCCACTTCCATGCTGTTAGGACTGGAGTGATAGAGGAGGTTTGTGTCCAGTGTGATAAAGGGTTTGGTTTCGTCAGTTACAGTACTCATGCTGAGGCAGCTCTTGCTATTCAGATGGGGAATGCCCAATCTCTTCTCTGGAAAACAAATTAAGGTGTGTATTTCACTGAACTTCTGATGCCGTTACTAGTTGCTTTCTGTAAATACCACATCCAAACACATCTGGAATATTTGTTGCACTTCAATTCTGACCATTGTTATTATTACTTAAATTACAGTGGTCTTGGTGGAGCAAGCCCACTCCGCCAGGAACTGCATCAAATCCCCTTCCCCTGCCTGCTGCTGCATCTCTGCCTGGTGACCTGGTCTGTCTGCAACAGATCTTTTGGCGTATGAACGACTGCTGGCAATGAGCAATATGGGTGGTGTCCATGCCTTGATGCATCCTCAAGGGCAACATCCTCTTAAACAGGCAGCCATTGGAACCAGCCAGGCAATATACGATGGTGGGTTCCAGAATGTTGCAGCTGCACAGCAAATGATGTACTACCAGTAACATACTCTGCGGTTCTCTTGATGTGGGGGTGGTTTAAATGCTATCTATATATCCTGCCTTGTGCACGTTGATTCCTATTAAACTCTAGGGAGCTTTTTCTTCTAATTTTTTACTCCACGGTGGTGTGGGTGTGGTAGTTACACCTATTAGATAATTTGTATGGGTTTGTATCATGTATGCGGTTTTCTAGTTAGTAGGGATGAGCGTTTATGATTGTAAGAGGGATTGTATGTCCTTGTCTGACTTTTCTTCCTTGTCACCCATTTGGTGTTACTATGCGATGGTTGTCATCAATATCATCCTGTCTATAGAGGCTTTTAACATTTCAATGTTCAAATCAATCTGATAGGTAGAGGTAGGAAGGTGGGTGATATGATTTGCGTATAAATTCTTGGTTGATTGTAGCTTTGTAATCGGGCGTAGACCTCGCGTTCGATTTACCTGAAAAACAATTATGAATTGATCGATATTTAAATTTACAGTTTTCGACAAACGGCTGACTAATCAACTAGTAAAATTGATCGTGCAGATGTTAGTATTGGAGAACGAACAGCTGGAAATCAATCATTTTATCAGAAACAAACTATTTTCATATTTAGTATAGAAATTAGTCTTTTAACATGTAACACACACACACACACACACACACACATATATATATATATATATATATATGATAATTATTCATGTGCTATATTTTAATTATAATTTATTATAAATAAATAATTTAATCATATAAATTATATTTTAAACTGTCATAATTTGTATTGTAAAATAAAATTATTTTTAATTGATAAATATTTTTAAAAAAATAAAGTTCTGTTAAGAAATAAAAATAAAAATATATTAAATGAATTGAAAATTAAAAAATTTCTTGAATATACTATAGTTAAAAAAAATTCTAACAGAAGTTAAAGCAAAATATGAAGTAATTAAGAGATGGTAATTTTTTAATGCTTTGGTAATGGCGCTGCGTAGCACGGGTTAAATATACTAGTGTATAAGTAAAGCATAATAGAATTGTGGATGACGATAAACATAAATGTCACCATTACTGACTACCTCATGGACTGATATTCACAATCTTGAAACATGATTTCTGTGTAGCCTCTAAAATTCAATTTAAGCATTTGCAGCCAAAAAATTAATAGGAACTGAATGATCTGAAGTTCCACATGAGAAGGTGAAAAATCCGATGGTAACAAGCAATGAGGAAAGTCTAGTAGTCCAACATTGGTTATTTGTTTGAAGAAATGTTAAACATGTCACAATTAATCCTTTTCCAATCTTGCAATATACTTGTCATAGAATTGCCCTGCTTTCTCAAGCTCTCCAAGCTCAGTGTAGCAATCAGCAATTGCCCCAAAAGCTTCTGTATTCCCTGAGTCCTCTCCTTCTATTTTCTAGAACCTCTCCAATTAAGGAGGGATCCTAACATTATTCATGTTTGCATAATAAAATGAAGGACCTCTAGTTGACGCGAAATATATAACAACAATTTCTTGATATTTTTATTTATTTTTTCGTTCCAAAATATGAAAGCATTGAATGAACCGTATAATTAATAGTTGATGCTCGACCATTACTGGTCCTCTACTAATAATTTTTTCTTTTCTTATGATAGTCCTCCACTAATATATATATATATATATATATAAATCAGAAGGAGTACATGAGAGTTTGATGGATTACATTTAATCCCAACAAAAAGGAAAATCAGCCACTCAGTGATGAGAGCCAATTCAAAATAAATGGAGAAATATATATATATATATATATATTAAGAGTTCATTTGAATATAAGCTACAAACATTTTTTTTAGAATTTTTCTGTTAAAAATAAAAATTATTTTTCAATAAAGAAGTTCTGGAATATTTTTAAATTTATATTGAAATAGACTAATTATTAAATGATTTAGTGATCTGCACCAAAAATTACCTAGTTGAAATATTATTTTTCTAAATGTAGAATCAATTTAAGGAAGCCGATGTTCACATTTTCCATGTCCTATGAATTAGTACAATTATTTTAGACCTAGTATTTCCATGACCTAGTATTGGATATAGTTTTCTCGAATTCTAATAATAATAATAAATAAAAAAATCTACATGAATACGCTGTCTATTTCACGTTTACCACGTTTTAAGAAAATTTATTTTTTTAACATAAATTATCGTTTAAAAAATTAATACACAATTAAATATACTTTCAACTTTATCCTTAATAAGTGTGTGGCTTTTGAACACTATTTTTTCAGCAATTTCTTTTTATTGTATCTTTCAATAAAGATATTTTGATACAATTACACTGCGGATTAAAATTATTAATGCTTTCTTAATCTTTATGTCAAAACATGGATGCATGCAATTTTGTCGCAAGTTGGCTCAAAGTGGTCCTTTTCTTCGCTGTTTAATCAAACCATATTAATTAGAAGAATTCATACTAGTTTTGATGTGAAGACGTGAGATGGTTAATGCCACAAACTTTGCTTTGATTTGATAACCACACCTCTTTAGCTCTACTATATGCCATTCGTAGTTGTGAAAATAGAAAAAATGAAAGGTTTCAAATTATGAGTCGTTAGCACTCATGGATATTTTAGTCTCCATGTAGATCAAATATTAATCATTAATGATTATTTTTATAATAAATATTTGAAAGTTGTGTCTTAAGGGATGTGCGAAAATCTTAAACATTGGTGGGAGTATATTTTGAACATCTTGCGAAATTGGAAAATTCTTAGTTATTGTTTAAATAAATAAATGTGTTACAGTTTCTGAAGAACAATCAATAGCTCGAAAGTTTGTGACATGAAACTGCAACAAATTTATGAGGTCCACTTAGACAAATATTGCTAGGTGTGAACTGCATCTGCTGCTATTATAAAGTTCATTATAGCACTACTTTGTTGAATGGCATGCATCATCATCTCCTTTTATCAACCAATAAATTTAGTTGCTTAAACGGCCATTCAAGTTTCAAAGCTCAAAAGTGAAAGGGCTGCGTTAGGGGTCACGTTTTGAGAATCTTTGGTAAGTGGTCTGTCTCTTCAACCTCTCAAGAAATTCTGTTGGAAAAAACTTTGGCATGCACTTGCTCACTCACCTGGGTCCAGCTCAAACCTTTCTGTTACTCACTCCAACCATTCCCACCAAACTGATAATGATGGTGGAGAACTAGCACGTTTAACGAATCAAAAAAATAAAAAATTGGATGCATGATACATACAGTACATCAAACATTCAATTCACAAAGACAGCAAATCATTTCATTCGAATTACCACGAATCACTTTAACCTTTTACTGGTCAGTTTGCCACATTATTATTTACATACATCTTGGATTTGGGGAACCATTTACAATTACATTTCCCCGGCAAAACATCAATGTTAAAAGTATCCAGTAATGAGTTGGTTCCATTTGATCATCAGAGTGTAGCATCAGTAATTAGGTGGCCGTAATCACCTTCGTTTGGGTACCTTATTGCAGCATAACACAAAAACTGCAGTTCCTATGAGACTTGTTCCGAGATCAATGGGACAAAAAACACCCAATGACACGCAGTATGGTACAAACAAATCAAACTTTTTTAAGTGTCTTTGACTATAACACTACCTCTTGTGTATTGTGATCCTCAATAGATTCTTCCTCAAGTTCTTTTATTAGCCTCTCAATTTGCCTTCTATAAACTGGCATGAAGTGATCACTGATCATTCTCTGTGAAAGTCTAAGTTTACTATATAGAGACCTTGAAGTTAGAAAAATCCCAATCTTAGCCTCACTTAGCTGGCTATTATCTGAACTTACAGAGGTGGGGCTACCATCATTTTCATGCTCGGCGATGTCAGAGTGGAGTGTAACAATGTGCATTATCTTTCCTGGAGGGAAAAATCTGTGGACTTCTTTTATTTCTGGTGCAGAGCTCTGGGTTTGCCCTACTTCCTCTGCTATGGCTGCTTCCTCTTCCCTTATCTCCTTTACAACATCAGTCTCCTCGCCTTCAGGTCCATCATATAGCTCATGCTCCAGTTGTTGCCACAACTCCACTTCACTCATCTGATCCTCGTATCTGTCATGGTCCATCATGTTCTCAATGTCATCGTGATCAACATCCACCTCAGCATCAGGATTGCTTCCATTGCCACATTCAATCTCAGAAGACCACTCTTCTATAGATGAAGATACAGGAAGGTTCATGTTCTTTGCATTAATCGCCTTTGTGGGAGAACCAAGAAGCGGTTCAGAACTTTCAACAATGCTAGAGGTAGAAGATGTAGGGGAACTTCCCCCATCTTTGGAGTTTGAATGACCACTCAAGACTCTGCGACGAGGTCCCATGCATGACCAAGAGGATAAATTGAGATTTGGACGTGTCCATGCTGCCTGAGCCATACTCTTAGCTCTCTTCATCACAACCTGCAGTTTTCAAAAGTCAGGCATGGATTAAAAGCAGATGCACTAGCACTTCTTGCATGATCAGATTGAACAAATCAACCACTAACCTTAAAAGAGAACTAACAAGATTAAAATAATTCTTTCTTCCAAGTTAGTCTGATGATAAAAAGAACAAAATAATTTGTACTTACTTTTTTAACAACTGGATTGCAACATCAATAAATTTTGTTCAAGATAAGATAAGAAAGACCTTTTTTATTTAATTTTCAACAATGGATAGTTTATTTGCCCTGCTTTCAAAGACAATATATTGTTGCATGATAATCAAAAAGTGAATTGACCTTATATAACAGAAGGAAAAAGTACCTGGGTGCCATTAGAAACTGGCTGCAAAATGGCCCCAGCCCCAGCAACTTTTGCTCTAGCAGTGGCAATCGATGGCAGGCGAGAACCTAAAGCTGAAGCAGAACGATAGACAGTACTGAGTATTCTTGTTTGTTCAATTTGATTCCTCAAGTCATTTATCCATGCTGATGCAGTCACCTGAAAATTGAAAAAGTAATTTAAATACACAAATGACAGAGTGACTAAAATGAAATTTTATGAGCTGCAAACATATTCATCATGCAAAAAACATAGTAGCAAGTGTATTGGTTTAACCAATTCCAATACGGCAAGCAAATCAAATCAGGAGCATTGTGAATTTCTGTGTAGGAATAAAACTTCAAGCGAGAGTAACAGGCACAGCCAATGCAAAACTTTTGTTGAATCCCTATAACTTCATGTGAGAATAAGGACATTTATAAGACTGCTTTCTAAAAATCCCACATTTCCTTTGACACAGTTTTGAGAGAACCTAAAATAGTTCATGACCATAAATGTGACTTAAATCCACCAGAATAATGTCCTCTAAACTGTCTGGAGTCATACAATCTAGTACAACATCTGGGTCTGCAAGTCTTAATTACCCTTCCCCAATGTATCTCCAACAAATATCATCAAATGTCGGTCAATAAATCAAGACTAAAAGCATTTTCCAATACAAGATGCTAAGTATCACAACCTCAGAACGCAAGTCATCTACAGAAGCAGCTGAGAATGTAGGCACCAGATCAGCTCCATTTATAATAGATGTAATAAAACTATCGCCAGACTCTGCCAACTCCCATGTCATACAAGCAGCTGCAAGAGTAACAAGATGTCAGGTTCAAGAGACTTGCTGTCAATATTAATCCCAAAGTGTTCTAGGATACTACCCTTTCAAATTGAAAATAAAAGTGTAGAATCATATAAACCCAAAAAATATAATAATATATATAAGAAAGACATACCTGGAGCAAATGTAACACATGTGGCGACAGACAGTTCCTTTCTCTCTCTCAAAACATAAGTTAGAATTGCTGCAGTGCCTCCACCCAAAGAGTGCCCTACAATCTGTGTTTAAAAAATCTTTTAAAAAGAAATCCACAAAACTACATTACAGGTACTAGCTATGCATGCTAGATCACAATAATAATATATATATACATACATATATATATATATATATATATATTCACAATTAAAAAGATGATATTATGGTCTAACAGGGAAGTGTCTGTCAAAAGGAATATTTAGTCAAATGAGCAGGGGATATTATAAAAAGAAACAACTTTACCTTAACTTTATAGTTAGGGTAGTGGCCAAGTGCTTCAAGGAGACAAGGAGTTGCAAGCTTTGCAATCCATCGAGCAGCAGCAACCATTCCACAATGTGCATAACCTAAAACCAAATCACTGACACCCCCCTGATGAACAACAGTGTGATGAAATGGTACAACATTTCCTGTAACAGCTGTGAGAGTATCCTTGATACTATGTGTGCCACGAATCAATAACAAAAGGCATCTCATGTCATGATCAGCTATTATTGTAAAAGCTGGTTTCAAAATCTGCATTACAAATGAACACACAAGTTTAAACATACATTTTTTACCAAATGAATACAGCTTACTAACATGGTAGCAAGTTTTACTTATTTATCTGTATCTGATCCATTTGAGCCACCCTACCCCCTTCAAGATAAAAAATAAAAAAGAAAGAAAAAACTTGCATAAATATTCCAAAAATGAAACAAAAAGAAAACCCCTAATAGCCCCAACTACCTCTTTTTGATCCCATATTTTCTCAGTCTAAAACAACATCCTCTGTTGCTTCAGCCTTCCATCCTTCCTCAAAAGAAAATGTAGTCAAAACGGTACAGATATTGAACTATTATCAATTTTTCCTAAAATTCAAACAAAACTTACTCCTGCTTTGGCTTCCCTAAGGAGAACATTTTGTTCTGTGTAGCCAGTTTCTTCTAGAAACAAGGGAAAGGGTTTCTTCGAAAAATGCCAACACAGTGTCAACAAGTTTAAGAAATACTTGAGTTCAGCAGTAATCTCAGATCCTTTCAGCTGTACACTGTCGTTACCACAAAAAACACTGTCAATTTGACAGTTCCCCTGCAAAGCATAATTTAGAAACTAAGTCAAACTTAAATAAATTAGAAAAAGGAATCATCAAAACCACACACCACATTTTTCATGTCAAATAAGGCTGATGTTCTGTGAGTATCAATAGTTTATTATCTTAGGGTCCATTTGGATTAGAAGTAAAAAATGATTATGGAATTTTGAACTTTGCCTGGACGTTACAAAGTATAACTAGTTAACTAGTTTCTGAATTATAATTGTTGGGAATTGGGATACATTTAGAAAATTGCAGGGTCCAACCTGCCAATTTTTTTATTTATTTTTATTTTTTGAGGATTGCAGACCTTGCTTGAAAAACTAGTAGGTCTTAGTTCTTGCTCAAAATCATTTTTCTTGGCTGTAAAAAGCTAATGATGAGTTACTTCAATAGAATGCACTCCTAAATCCTAATATTTATCAATTTTAAACACCTTACGTCTTAACCACACAACAAATACTGTAAGCATTTAATTTGGACAGGCTGGATTGTTTGAGTGGCCAAAATCTAAACAAACATGGCATTGACATCCAACCACGAGCATTGAAAAAGAAGATATGCAACTACTATACTTGAACAACAGCTTAATATGAACAAATTAAACTGGCACAAAGTCAATATTACGGAGCAATTTCTTATCTACTTATGTAAAGCTGAGATGAGGAAATTCAGTAGTCCAGGACTTCAGGCTAATAAATTAATATGTCTTCCAAGGATAGCAAGAAATTGATCTACCTCCAAAAAAATTGCTTAATATATGATTTAAATCAAGATCAAATATACAAGGTTGCACAAGTCATGAGAACAACCTTGGAAGGGTTCATTTTGTAGAAAATAGTCCGAACTCCAACTTATATTTAGCCATATTACTCTCCTAGAAAGTATAATAGAAATTATATCATGTAAATCATAAAATCCAAGAATAATCTAATACGACAACATGAAAGTGTTAATGATTAACAGCAGCAGTTCAAATTTTGCAAATGATAATCCCAATCCACTGCTGTGATGTTGCAAAGCCGTAGAAAAGCAAAACAAAAACAACACCCATGAAAAAAAAATCATATTTAAGGAACACTTCAGAGAGAATATAAATTATAACACTGTTCTCCAAATGTAGGATTATTTCTTTAAAGACCATAATTTTTTTTTATTGAGCTGGTGAGCATTAAATTAGCCTTCCAACCATTCAGTCATCAACAATGTTATTTACACATGAAAAAGTTCACATCACTCACATAACTTTCATGACCACCGTCCATTATTCTTTCTCTTTATCTCTCTCTCCCTCTCATTCATCAAAGTCAGTGATGTGTACTTTGTTAGGTGAATTATGTGAGTGGTACACATTAAGTGCAGGTTGCAGGTTGCAACTACCATTTTTGTTCAATTATAGATCTACCTGTAAAATATGCATCTGTCTTTCCTACAAATATACCAACTCTTTATTCTACTTATTACTTAAATGCATCCAAAGTTATAAATAGATAAACAAAATGCCACGGCTTTCCTGCTTATTCAGTTGCTTCAAACACAAAAGCAAAATCTACTCATTGTCATTACCTGTCTCTTTAGAAGAAAGCTGATACCAAACGCCAAATCCCCAATGGGCCATTTCCCAAGTGTCTCTGAATAAGTGAACCTGAGAGTCTCCGACAATGTTGAAATTGTCTCCAACCATGTAGCAGGGGCTTGGATTAACCGATGAGAAACACGATCACCACCTAATGGCGTATCAGTGGGCGTGTCAGTGGGCGTATCACTGCCATTTTCTTCACCATCTTCATCGATGGCATCGTCAGTCTGCAATTTCCTATTCAATGTGTAGTACAGAAGGGCAGCTGCACCTGCTGCAGTAGCCATGGTTGCAGTTGCCATCAGTTTACTATCCCTATAATCCAAAAAAAAAAAAAAAAAAACTTCATCAGGAAAACGATTCATAACAGAAAACTGTGATACAATTTCCCAATACAAGCCAACTTCAAATCCTTTATTTTCAATCAGCCGTGATCAAATCAAACAAAACAAACCAAAAACATTTGTTTTTCATAGGGGGCATCAAAATAACAAAGGGAAAAAAAAATTAAAACTTGAACTAGAAGGGAAATCTGGTTGGTGGGTTAATTCGACAATTTCAGCTGCCATGGAACTATAATTTCAAAACACCGATTCATTCGATTGATCAATTAATAAAATCAGAATAATTAGGATCAAAATGAATTAAGAGAATGAAACAAAAATCGGAGCAACCTGAAGAACATGAAGACACACCGAAACCCAAAACCCTAAATCTTCCAAAATCAGGATAAAAAATTTATAAAAATAGAGGAATGAACTTACCTGAATAACGTGATTTTGGAGAAATTTGAAGAGGGGGAAATTAGCTTGGGTACGAAGGGACCATAGATAGCACCGAAGCAATTTTGTGTTTCGATGTCTGTTTTTATTCTGTTGAATAATAATAATATTAAAACAATAATATAGTAATAATAAACTTTGCAGTTTTCTTTGAACCTGGACGAAGCAACAAGAAATTAAGAATAGTATTTTTTGAATGTGTTTAATGGACACGTGGCGCGTGCATATGGAGTGAAAACAGACCACGTCAATGTAGTGTTAGATGATAAGTTACACCAGCAAATTCACACGTCATATTGTCTCTCTCTAATTTCATTACTTAACAAATTACAGGTTAAAACTTATAACTTTAAATTGTTATTACTTGTTACAACCAGTTCAAGATATTCCTTCAAATTGTTGGCAAGTCTAACTAAAAATAAAGAAAATTGTTAACATGTTATTCTTTTATATAATGAAGGTTAAATCTACATTTTCATGTTTTTAATTATTTCATTTCCTTTCCATCCAATCACTAACTTAATTTTAGTGATTATTTTAAATATAATTTATATATTTAAATATAATATTTATAATTTACTATAAATTTCAATTATATGTCATAAATATTTAATATTTGGAAACGTTGCAATTTTAATTAGACAGTTTATGCCATATAAGCGTCTAATTTGACGTGATATTATTTATTTATTTATTTTTACAAGTAAAATTATTCAATATTTTATTACCATATTTATAAATATTAAATGTTAATAATTTACTGCTTCATATTAAATAATTTTATTTTTCATATCAAATAATTTAACTTATAAAAAATAAATAATTATTTAAATACAAATTAAATGTTAATTTAATAGTATTTGAATATTATTTTTAGATTTGAAATAAAGTACATTAAAAAATAAATACTCATTTATTAGTCATTATTTTTAATAATAAATATTTTTTATAAATATCGTGATTAAAAGAAAATTAACGGTAAAACTAAAATTATCCATTTTTTAAATGTATAACATAAAATTAAGTAATTAAAACTACGAAGACGAAAATTACCTAATTAAGGGGACCAATAAAATTAGGTTCAGAATAGAAATATTAACAATGGCAGTATGTTTTAATTAATTTCTTTTTATTGATAGTTATAAGAAAAAAAATATCGTGAACGACAATTTTTTTTTGGTATCTTTAACGGTATGTTTAAGCTAAAAGAAAGAAAATAGAAGAAACAAACATGAACAATAATTACCTAATATTATCATATATATATATATATATATAATTAAAAATAAAATAAATAGTTTTATATGAGGTGGGATTCATCCATTTCAAAAGTAAATTTAATTAAACTTACTCTACTCAATAATTTTGTTTTATACCAAATTTAAATAATCTAATTGTTGAATTAAAAGTTTTTAATGTATAGATTAAGTTTGTAAACTTTTACAAATTTTAAAAATTATTTGATATTCTATTTCATTAATTTAAATTAAAATATAAAATATTTTTATGATTATTCATCAATTTGAATTAATAAAATGGAGTATCAAATAATTTTAAATTTTTTATAAAAAATTGTGAAAATAATATATATATATATATTAAGAACTTTTAATTCAACGATTGGATCATTAAAACTTGATATAAGACATAAATTATTGAATGAAATAAGTTGATTCCTCTTCTTTTTATATTTTAAAATTATATTTTAGACTTGTAAAAAATTATTTAAATTATTATATAAAATTCTTTTATTATTGACAATTTCTTTTAAATAAAACTTTTGAAATTTCGTTTAGATGTTAAAAAAGTAAAATAGAATGGGATAAAACTAAAAAGGATAATATATGATGACAATGTAAGATATTTCACAAAAAAAAATACTATGACTAATTATGAATATAATGTGGAACATAATGTACGAAATGCACACATACAAATAAGAGAAAAAGAAAAGAGATAGGCACATAAAGAGAGAAGCGAGACAAGAGAGGGAGTCATTATGGGTGCAAGGAGTTCTAGGGTGAGGTCACTTCTTTCTTCTTCTCTCACTTCCTTGATACTTTCAAAGAAACTGATATGTGGAGTATTTTTCAAAGGTGAGAAAAGGTGTGGGGAGTGTATAAGACACAATCTATATCGAAGATAAGAAGTTGCGAGTGAATATTCCAAAATACAATAAAGGAGCCCAAAAAAGGGGGAAAGGCCAAAAGCTCTTCAAAATCAAATTGAAGATGCTAGGATGAAGGCAAAGGGAAAAGACCATTAGTGGAAACAAATAGAGTGACCGTTTGTTAATCCTACTAAATTGATTGCCCAAGCTGTAAGAAAAATTGGTTGATTCAAGAAGGGGTGAATTGAATTTTACAAAAAAAAATTTAAAGTTTTTGGACAAAACTTTTCTAAAGACTTTCTAATGAGCCAAATTGATTTTTTAGCCTATGTGAGATGTTATGTTGAAAATTCTTGTTAATGTGAGTTTAGAATCTAATACCTCTACATGTAATGATTACGAATTATAACACACATTACTTAGCATGCTATCATGAAAATTAATTAAATAGGACATCATAGTTTATCTTATCCTAGTTTATCTTATCCTATAAAAACATTTTGTATTCTTTACTCTCAACTTTTTATCTACACTCTTAAAGTTTAGATACTACTTTACTATTTTGAAAAAAGTATTATATTTTTTATTAACACCATTCAGCCTTTTTTTTATAGTGTCTTTCTTTTCTCCACTTTGAATCACTACTCCTAATAAATTTAAGAATATTTACCTTCACTTTTCCCAAACACTTCTCTCTCCTTATGCTTTCTTTCACTCCTCATAGGATTTCTTTCTCTTTATGCCTTCTGCAGTTCCCTTTTCCATCATTTTCATCAAACCCCTTATCACTTACATAATAAGAGTAAGAAGACTTGAGTTTTTTCTTCTTTCTTTCTACACTTTATGACTTCTCATTAATCTTTTAGGTATTTTTTTAATCCCTTTAAACCTCACTTTCAACCATCTCTCACTATTCTTTTGTAATCTCTCAATTTATTTCAAAATCTTTGTCATGATTTTAGTTATCTTTAGAGAAGGTGGATCACTATCCTTACTAAAAAAAGTCATACCCATGCTAGAAGTGTTAGCACAAAAATAACAAAAATATTTAGATTTCACCACTTACTAAATATTTACACTACTTTTTTTGTGTGTCACACTTTAAAATTTTTTTTTCTCTAATGACTTTTCTTGCATTTTCCCTCACTTTGTCCATATTTTGATGCTTTAGAAATACTTGAACCAACAAATCAATAATATTTTGTTCAAAGTGAAAAACATAACAAACCTAAGTTTAACTCAAGAATCTAAAAATAGGAAAATTCTAAGAAAAAAAAAACTTGGGGAAATTTAAATACAAACAACAAAAGATGAAAGAAAAAAAAAGGAAAACTCAAAAGAAATGTTGACAATAAATAAATAAATAAATAAACACAAAGTCAAAAGGTCTACACAAAACAAAATATTCAACAAATTTTACCTTGTGGAGAATTAGTATACTTAAATGAGCAAAATGACTCTAAAATTGTATGATAGGAAAAGAATTTATAAAAATAGTAGAAGGACTTTCTAAAGGACAAATTGTTTTATTCTCAAATATTAATTTTATTTATATTTTGATCTTACTTTTTTTTTCGACATTTTCATTCTGACCCCTATTTTTGTTATTGTACTTTTGCCCAATTTTTTTAAATATATATTTTTTTTCTTTTTAACTCTTAATATTTGCAAATAAGTCTTCAAAGTTTTCAACATTTCCAAAAACACTCAACCTCATTCGAATAATTTGTTTATGGATCACATTCGTGTTCTTGCACACAACCAAAAAAAATGAACATTTTGAAGATGTTCTTTTCCAATGTCCAACCACTAAAAATAAAAATCAATAATATGTGCCTAACCAAAGTAAAATCAATATAATTTCACTAAGTATACTCCTAAATTCATCAAAACAAGTCATTATGCAGCACAAAAACACCAAACCACATATATACGAATGAATCAAAGATGAGAATTATGAAAATACAATAAGAATAAGGAAGAATACAAAAGAAGACTCAAACTCCACTAATTGAACCAAAATTAGTGTCAAAACAATCACAAATACAAATATAACAAAACCTAACAAAGAAGAAACACAAAAGACAAAGAAAACTTGAAGAATTTTTGAATCAACCTCTTTAGCTTTGCTCCAATTTCTACTTGATTCAATTTTATTATTTTTTATGTTTATCTAGGCTCTTGATATCAAATGATACAAAATCCCCATGGTTAGGATCCAAAACAACAACAAATTCACAATTTACATGAAACTAGAGAACACAGGACTCGATTAATTTGGGAAAAATTAAAATTAAAATTAAATGAGAATAGAAATGGAAGATTAAAACCATAATTTGTGATGAATTGATGAGCTAAGTAATATTCGTCACAAGAATATAAAAAAAAATTAAGATAAGAATTAAAATAACTCTCAAGAATTAGAGAGAAAGTTTCTTATACAAGTTTGTGTCTTGCAAGAATGAGTTAAAACTAGAACAATAGCACTATTTATACCCTGGACTTACTTAGTACACATCAAAGCCCAATAACTAAAAAGTCCAAGATTGACTCAAATGTATACATATATAAAAAAAGAAACTTTAATGAAATAGGTGCCCCTTCGTGATCCACAGTAGGCATTCCTTCAACGTAGATCATGCAAAATAATTGGGCAAAGTTTGTCCTAAAGACTCCTTCCTTCTTCCCGATATCTACAAGTTAGTGGATAATTTCTTAGATATCATTAGATAGTCTATATAGTATCATTAGATAGATTTTTCTGTCCATATATAGTATCAATGCTTTAAATAAATGTCTATATATAGTATCATTAGATAGATTTTTCTGTCCATATATACAACAACTCTACTAATACATATACTTAAATTAAATGTTTCTCACACTTTAGTCTCCTTATCAAACAAATATCATCACCATCATTCCCTTCTACTGAAAAAGGTTTGACTGGATTAATTGTGATTGGTATGTAGTTATTTTATTTCATCTTGTTTAATTTTACAAGTTAATTACCGATCAATCAAACCGAATACAGTTTCACTAAAGTGACTTCCTCCCCCTAATGCTTTCACGTCATTTTAGCAAATAAAAAAGAAAAAAAAGAAAAGAAAAAAAGTGTCACTTTTTTAAATAGAAGCCCACACCTTATTCTAGTCTACGATGACCATCTTTATCTGTCTTCTGATATGAAAGAGTTACCTTTATCATATACAGCCCGAAAGTCATGTAGGCCCTCTGAGACATGCATGGCAGTTCTGATTCTCTGTTTCTTCTACCACCTTCGTCATACATGCACTTGAAGCTAGCCACGTTGCTTTTTCTTAATGTTTTTTCTACACACAATCAAAAAAACTAATCCTTATCAAGATATTTAAAAACTTAATTATCTATAATCATGTTAGAGTTAGAGTGATATTTTTATCCATGATCTTATAATGAAATCAAATGTGGTAGCTAGCATTTCCCATCAGTGCAATGGGACACATCGATCATTACAGTAGAGGGACCAGTGTGTCTTTATTGCCTAGACTTAAAAACGTGGTCCGCTGAATAGTTGAATTGTGGGGATCAATGGGACCCAAATTATCTCTCTCTTTTTATACGTGTTTTGCTTCTTGTCCTTTCAATGAAAAATATATATGTAGATGAACGAAAATATAATTGGAGAGATAATATTTTAATCCCATGCATGGCAATTTTTTTAATAGGAAAACATGAAAGTGCAAACAAAAAGGGACAATTGATTTCTATTCCCTGATTGATGAATACAACTGCAGGGTTGTGGACCTTAATGTGTATTCGATCTACAGCTTTTGTGTGAAGCAAATCTTATTGAGGACCAGCTTTTGTGCATGAAAAAACAAGTCAATGGTTTATGGCTTGGCTTTTACTTCAACAGTTAAACCCAACACTATTTTCAATAAAGAACAAAAAGTCATTACATCATGCCATGGTTTCACTTTCACTTTCACACTTTAAATTAGTGAGCTGTGTATTTTAATTAAAAAGTAAAAAACTACTTACTAAATATAAGTATTCAAAATTGAATAATTAAAATTTTGGTTATATACATAAAACTTTTTTTAAAATAGTTAAATTTTTTATTAACAATTTTCATTTTATTCTTATATTTTAAAGAATGCATTTCGCATTTTGAAGAAACCAATAATAAAAAACAACCAAATCCTACCTTTCTCTTATAGCTCGTGAGATCTATATTTGTCCAATCGCAATTATAGGTGCCTCTGGAAGTTAGGGCCACTGCCCGTAACTCTCCAGTGTTGTGGGTATTTTAAAAATATATATTAAAAAGAATAATTAACATTTTTCATAGAAATTTACCTATATTCTATATATTGTTCATTGTAATTATTGCTAAAAAGTACAATTGGTAATTTTCTAAAAAGCGAAAAAATGTACAGTAGGATTTAAGTAAAAGAAATCAATTATACATACGTCTAAAGTTGACAATTTTTAAACCAACTTGTGTTGGTATGAATCACGAGAAGTATATATTGTTTAATTAAGTAGTTAGAGATACATGTAGAAAATTCAAGTTAGATGGGATGTTTATCTATTTAATTTATGCTTGAATATCAATTAAAATCACATTTAATTGAAAAATACATTCTAATACAAAAAAGTAAAAGTTTATGATTGTAATTTTTTTTTCCAATTATAGTTGAGTTCAATTCAATTGATTCTAAAATACATTAGTATTAATGTTTGTTAAATTTTTAAAAGAGATAATCTCGTATCTGACAGATAATGTTCCTTAATAATAAATCAAATATTTTTTAATTCACTATTCAATTTCAGAAAATGTTGTTGGATTATGTTGTTTTTAGGTGGGATTATGGTTAGATTATAGCTAAATTGAAAAACTAATTAAAAAGTTGTTAAATTAAAAATATTTTAAATATCATATAATATATTTAATAATAAAATAATAAATTATAAATTAGGTAAAATTATAGAATATAACGTAATCATATTAAAAAATTGAATTGATAAATAAATATTTTTTTAGTATACCCAAATAAATATAAAACTAAAATAATATTCAAAAGAAAAAATTGTGTATCAGCTCAAAAAAAGATTTGAGAAGTAAAAATAAAATTACTAAACAACTATATATAGGGCAGAGTTACACACATAATTAAATTAAATACAAGAAATTTGTAACAGCCCAAGCAACCCGCATGAGGATATTGTCCGCTTTGGCCCACGGCCGCACGGTTTTGCTCTTGGCGATGACACGCATGCCACCCCAAAAGGCCTCCTCACAAGGAAGGTATCCACACCCATATATATGGCATGCTTCGTTCGCCTTCCTAACCGATGTGGGACTATATCCACCCCCCCTCAAGGGAGTCCAGCGCCCTCGCTGGCACACCGATCCGGGCCCCGGCTCTGATACCAA